TCCCTTTTATCAGTAGGGTACAGCCCACAGGTGGCACACGGGCTCTGACCAGTCACTGCCTTCCCACCACCGACACACCTTTGGCTGCTCTTGGGCTGATATTTCATCTTCCAACAAGGCCGAGCCACTTGTAGCTTCTCAGCTGATCAAGTGGTTTCTCCCTCTGTGTTATATATCAAGTGAGCCACTTCCTTCCTCACAATCCAGGTCAATTCAACTCACTTCTAAAAGCTTAGTTCAGACATCAACTCCTCCAAGAGCCTCCCCTGGGGCCTCTCCCCCTCACATTTTCTACCAGGGAATTCCCCCATCATTATGTGTTCTAAATATCCACGGAGGCACTGATTGCCCTCTTTAGTTACAATCAATGTTGTCAAAATGGCCATACAACCAAAAATGCTCTACAGATTCAATGCAGTTCCCATCAAAATTCCAATGACTTTCTTCATAGAAATAGAAAAGGCTGTCATGAAATTCATTTGGAAAAGTAAGAGGCCCAAAATAGTTAAAGCGATCCTTAGTGAGAAAAGTGAAGCAGGAGGCATTACAAAACCAGACCTTAGACTGTAGTACAGAGCTACAGTAACAAAAACAGAATGGTATTGGCACCAAAATAGGCAAGAAAACCAATGGAACAGAAGAGAAGGCACAGAGATAAACCCACATAAATACAGTGACCTCACACTAGAAAAAGGTGCCAAAAATACTCACTGGAATGAAGAGAGCCTCTTCAACAAATGGGGCTAGAAAAACTGGAAATCCATTCATAATAGAAAGAAAGTTAACCCCTATCTCATCCTGCACAAAACTCAACTCTTAAGTGAATCAAAGTCCTACACATCAGACCAGAAACCCTGCGTCCACTAGAGGAAAAGGTAGTCCCAACGCTTCAACATATCGGCACAGGAACTGACTTCCTGGCAAGACTCCTAAAGCATAAGAAACAAAATCAAATGGGATGGCATCAAACTAAAAAGCTTCTGCCCAGCAAAAGAAACAATCAAGAGCACGAAGAGAGAACCTACAGAATTGGAGAAAATCTTGGCCACCTACGTCTCAGATAGATGTTCATTTCCAGGATACGCATAGAATGAGGATTCTCAGCAGCTGAGACTGTCTTATTTGGCATGTGACTGGCACAGAGGAGAGGTTTAAAAACTAGATGAACAAATGAGCAAATGACAAAAAAGGGGGGGGGTGCTGATTGTGCCACTTCTGTGCTGGGCCTGCCAAGTGGACAGGATCTCCCCCATACCTACCGCCATCAGATGGGACCCGCTACTGCTCTGTGCTCAGGGGGCAGATGCTCCTTACTGGTCTTTCGTTTTTTGCTTCAGCCCCGGGTAGTCAGTACATGACTACCTCTGGGAGCTGTGGGAACCCGGTTATTTATCCTTTCCAATCTTCAAGTTCCCATGTGTCAAATGGACTCCCCTTCGGATGTACTGAACAGAACTGCTGTGGAAATGGAGGAGGTAAAGCCAGGTGTGTGGTCAGAACTGTGCCACTGGTTGATGTAACTGAGCTGGGAAATGGATGAAGAGATGCAGGCAGGCGCAGTGACTACAGGGAGAAAAAAACGCCTGGGGACCATTGCCTCACATAGGACACCCCCAAAGGTCTTCTCTCCCTAATCCACAGCTCTGGGAAGCTCCATCCCCCGGCTTTTTCTATGCTCTGTTACAAAAGGTAGAGCTACCCGTTTTCTTATCGATCTTGCCCAGTGCACGTAGAATTGCAGCAGAACAAGAAAAATATGGGGAGAGGAAAGGCTGTGTACCCAAGGCCAGGACTCGCCCCGGAGAAGTAGAGGCATGTGCCTCCTGTGCTGGGTTGGAGTGGGGAACGAAGCCTGGTTTATCATCTCGTGAAATGAAATGAGTTACAAACTCATTCCTCCCCTCCCAAATCCAAAAGTGAATCCCCAGTTTAGTAATCAGTAGATGATGGTTTGGGGATCTGAGGCTGCAGATGATCAAGTCCAGGACTGGAGGCCAGGAGTGTGCTTTCTGCTCAGCCCCATGCTGGGTCCTCTGGGCCTCGCTTGCAGATTGACAAAGTGAGTACAGAAAGAAAACACTGCACCTGCAGTGGGAAGTAGCAGAGCCAGCAGAACCAACCCCCGAAGAAGGAATGGCGAGCTGGAACCAGCTCATCCTGGCTTCCCAGGAGCAGACTGTTGGTATCTCAGAAATTTTATCAACCACGTTAAACCGTCAGTCACTTGAAAGTGGCATGATGAGAGCATTTTCTCTGGCAAAGCTGGCATGCACCACAAATCAGGGCTTCTCCCTACCCCTCCAGAATCTGTTCACCTTTACTGCACTAAGGGGTTCCCACAATGTAAGCCTTTGAGGCAGGCTAGGGGAGTGGTTTTGCATGCAGGCTGTGGAATCACATAGACCCAGGCTGAAATCCCAGCTCCACTAGCTAGCTGTGTGATCTTGGGCAGACTACTTAACCCCTCTGAGCCTGTTTCCTCATTGTATTATGGCACCGATGCACTGAATGTATGTATGTGTATGTGCCAGGTATTGTCCCCAGCATTTATACATATTAACTCATTAATTCCTCACAACAACCTCGAAGAAGGAACTATTATTATCCCCAAGCTATAAAAGAGGAAAAGCAAGGCAAAGAGAGATCAAGGAACTCTTCCAAGATCCCACAGCTAGTAAAAGGGGGAGCTGATAGAGGGTACAAAGACAGGCAGCTGGCGCAGACTCTGCTCTCTTCTGATGCTGTCTCATGTGGTCCCAAGTCTGGCTACCTGTGGCTGTGGAGGACTCGAAATGTGGCTGGTTGGAACTGAGATGCACTATAAGCGTGAAAACTTTGTGCAAAAAAGGAACGCGAGACACCTTACACATAGAAATTATGTAACTTAGAAGCAGGTGCCGTGGCACACGCCTGTAATCCCAGCACTCAGGAGGCTGAGGCAGGAGGATCGATGGTTCAAAGCCAACCTCAGCAATAGCAAGGCCTTAAGCAACTCAGTGAGACCCTGTCTCTAAATAAAATACAAAATAGGGCAGGGGATGGGGCTCACTGGCTGAGTGTCCCTGAGTTCAATCCCCAGTACCACTCCCCCCCAAAAAATTATATGATTTAGGATTTTTGAGTTAAATAAAAAGTAGTATTACAGTTCATTGCACCTGATTCTTACTTTTTTTTTTTTTTGGCAGGAAGAAGTATCAGAGATTCAACCCTGGGGTGGTCAATCCCTGAGGCACATCTCCAGCTCTTTATTTTTATTTTGAGACAGGGTCTCGCTAAGTTGCTGAGGGCCTCCAACTTGTGATCCTCCTGCCTCAGCCTGCTGAAATGACAGATGTGTACCACCCGGCCCAGCTTCTTCTTACTTTTAAAACATATCTACTGGAAAATTTTAAATCACACTTGAGACTTGCATTCTAAGTCTTCGGGTAAGTGCTTTTCTACCCTGACCTCACAGTTAGTTGTAGGCATTAAACCAGCAACTACAAGGCGAGACCCTTGTCTGAAACAAACGAAGCACCCAGTAGTTATTATTAATATTAGTGAGATCAGCGGTTTTCAAATGTCAGAGCTGGGATTGCAGAAGAGGAGACCTCTAGGTGTTCTCTCAGGTGGCCCCTTCACCCTGGTCACCATCTCCACAGACTTGGAACTCACCAGGGTGGGGATCTTTGGATGCTCTTGAGCTCTAGCATTCCCCCTCTGTGATTTCAGAAGTGAAGAAGACTAAATGTCCATAGCAGTGCTTTTTAAATGATCCTGGAAAATACTGCCATCTTGCTTGGAGACTCCCAAGGGGCTGGTCACAGATCTGAGCAAAGATCTGTGAAAGGGAGGTTTGCGTGAGGTTTGTCTCCCACAGGCTCGTGAGTTGGAAGCTTGGTCCCTAGTGTGGTGGTGTTAAGAGGTGATGGGATCTTTCAGAGCTGGGTCTTCCTGCAAGATAATTGGGGGTGGGGGGGTACTGCCCTCAGAAGTTCTCATGGGAGCAGGTTGATATTTTTAAACAGTGAGTCTGACCACCCTCTCCAAGCTTTCTAGGCTTTCTGTCTCAGCTCTGATCCCTTTCACATGCATTCCTACTATTGTGATGCCAAGTGACATGAGGTCCTCACCAGAGCTGAGAAGCTGGCACCACAACCTTGGACCTCCAGAACCATGAGCTAAATAAACCTCTTTTATTTACAAAGTATCCAGCCTCTGGTACTTTGTTATAACAACAGAAAAGAGCCTAATACAAACATCATGGATGTGACCTGTGTGTGGGGGGGTCCACTCTGGGCTTCTGGCTTTTGACCTACACAGGATCACACATGTAGCACTTTTGTATGTCACCTCTCCACTTCTGCTCCCTCACAATCTGCCAACTCCTCACCCACTCAGAACCTGGGAAGGCCCTAGGCCCCCAGGTCCGGGGATGACAGATGGTGACATCGGACCAGGTGCTACAATGATTTTGCTGTCCTGAAGGCAATTCCCGGCTCCACCAGGCCCAGTGTCTGCCAGGCAGCCGCTCAACTCTTCCTCCAGCCCGCGCCCCTGGCTCTGATGTAGTATGTGTGGACGGACAGGGAGGGCAGCCAAGTCTTCGCCGGGCTCTCTAACAAGTTCCGCGGGTCTGTTTGTTAAAGAAAAATTCCAGTGGGCGCATCCAACACATGGAACTCAAGTACAGAAATTATATTTATCCACCCCACTGCCAAGGAGATCACATGCCCCGTGAGTCACTCCAGATGTGCTCAAAAACAGAGACTCTGTGTGGAAGCCCAGTCCCCAATCCCAGGGAGAGTCGGATTAAGAGAGGTGCCGACTCCGTCCCACCCAGGAGGCAGTGGCTGGCCTCCACCCTGCGGAGGCGCGCAGAGGGCATTTCTTCCCTCCTGGAAAGGGAAGGGAGGCAAGAATTCTACCTACGTCTCCCTGGGAGGAACTCTAGGTCCACCTGTAGCCACTGGGATCCCACCTGGGCTGAGGGTCCATTCTTCACCTTTTGGGAGGAAAAGATGGATTGGAAGGCGCTGGTGCTCCTGCTGCTATATTCCCATGCTCAGGCTACGGTGTCGCACAGGTGGAGCAGGGGTGAGTTGCTTTTGATTCATTGGTTGGTTGGACGCTCATTCTTCTTTCTTAAAAATGATTAGAGGCTGGGGCTGGGGCTCAGGGGTAGAGAGCTCACCTAGCAGGTGTGAGGCACTGGGTTCGACCCTCAGCACCACATACAAATAAAATAAAGATATTGTGTCCACCTACAACTAAAAAATAAATATTTCTTTTAAAAAGTGATCAGGCACTCGGAGGGCAGTGAGCAGAGGGAGGGGAATTAGAAGCCCCTGCCCTCTTTTTGCCTCATCTCTACCAGTGCACCTTGGTGGGACCCCCTTGTCAGGAGATGGTGGGAAATGACACCGGGAATCATGGGAGCGGCTGATTTGGGAACTTGGTCAAGGTGGAGAACGTAGAGGGCATCCCTCTGTGGGGCCAAGAGACAGCTGGGCTCTGCGGCCTGGTGTGCGACAGGCTCCCTCTATTTCCCACCAGCTGTGCGGCTGTGGCAGAGCCTCTGGAGAGCAGGTATCAAGGTCTTCTGCCTACATAATGGAGTCACGGGCGCTGGGGTTCAGGAGGCCTGCTCCCTGGGTGGCCTGGACAGGGGACTCTCAGCCTGGGTGGCCAGGAGGGAGGTCTCCATGCTGCCCCCAACCAGAAGTGGATGCATCTTTGCGGCCGGGTCAAGCTGGCCAGTGGCAGTGAGGAAAGACCCTCTTGGGCACCCAGAGTGCTTGGCCACTCCCACTGGAGTGGCAGGGCCACCAGGGGAAGAAGAGACCCCTGCAAAGGCTTTTGTCTCGTGGCTAAATTCCTCTCCCTCAGGATGTCACTCCCCAGAGCTGGGATGGCCTCTGTGTCCTGGGACTGGCTCCGGCTCGCAGTGCTGAAGTAGTCAGGGGTCATCAGTTAGGCGAGGAGGGATCGAGAGTGCCACCCACCCTGCGCCAATAGAACTGAAATCTTTCCACTGCCTGAAGTCAACTGAGTTCATGTTCCCAGAAAGAACTGGAAGAAGAACCGGGTGTCCTGAGGTCAGATGGTACCGGCATCTAGAGACCCCAGTCGGAGGAAGGCTGGGGTGGTGACCTGGGATGCAGACCTGCTTCCCAAGGACAGGACCAGGGAAGGAAGGAGTGTGGGAACAGCATCGTGGAGGGGAAGGAAGACTGTGAAATGGAGGGGTGGGGGCAGCAGAGCCAGGCGCTTACGCTGGATTTTATTTCTTCCCGTGGAAGCCAGACACTGGGAACCTCCCAGTCCTCTGAGCTGAACAAACCACTGCTGCCCAGGGCAAAGAACACCCATTTCCCTCTCCTTTTCCTGACAACCTCTTTCACGCGCATGCCACACACGTACACATGCAGACACACCCCTCCCTTCTCAAGGTATGCACAGACTTCAGGCAGCAATGGAAGCAGAGAGCAGAGACTTCCAGAACTTGGGTTCTGCCACCTACCCCTGGGTCACACTGGGGGCACAGCTTCCTTTACCTATTAAAAAGGGATCATAATATCTCCTCTTCCTAAAGCCTAGCCCATTAGAAAGTCAAAGGAGCCAGGCACAGTGAGTGGTGCATGCCTGTAATCCCAGGGACCCGGGAGGCTGAGGCAAGAGGATGGAACATTCAAGGCCAGCCTGGGCAACTTAGTGAGGCCCTGAGTAACTTAGGGAGATCTTGTCTTAAAATTTAAAAAAAAAAAAGAGTTGTGGGGGAGGAGCTGAGGGGCAGAGTGCCTGTATGCATGGGTGGTGGTTTCAATCCCCAGCACTGCAAAAAAAGAAAAAGAAGAAAGAAAGAACAACAAAAAAAGCACAATGAGATGATTTTACCTGCAATACAGCTTATAAACCCTCTAGCTACTTTAGGAGCTACCCTGTAAGGATAATTAATTGATTATTTATTAAGGGTAACTAATTAATTGGCTGTGTGGTTGCTGGCAAGCCTCTTAACCTGTCTGAGCTGTAGTCACTAACAGATAACAAAACTTACCCTCATGGGGAGTGGTTACGACCCTCATGAAGGTCATATTCAAAAATATAAATGAAAATGCTTTGTAACCGATGAAGCACTATATAAATGCTAGTCACTACCTACAATTTTAAAAAAATGATAATTTTTCGTTAACGTTGAAGGCTCTCAACAGAGTCTGATAACATCCTGGGAGCAATCTGCCCTCACCAGAGCAGATCCATCCCCACCAGCCACAGTCTATATAAACATGGGAGGCAACAAAACTGACAGGGAGGTTGTCATGAGGCAGCAGATGTGAGGGCTGGAGCCGGGGCTCTACTCTGGGTTCAGAGCCAGCGAGTTCTCACCCCACTCACCCCACCCTAAGTCTCACCCCAAGTCTTCCACGTGGCTGATTTTTTTAAATGTTTAATATTTTTTCTAATTACAAAAGGAATACACAATGCTTGTCAACTTTTTAAGATGAATGAGGGTCACACCCAAGTAGATGACAATTTTTCCGAATGCGTGTTCCCTTCATCTTCACCCTTATCCCCCAGCCTCCGCCTCCAGCCCTGGCTCGGATGAATTCCCCCTGGAAAGAGTGCGAGGGCACCCTCTCCCTAGAAGGCCCCCTCTTCCATCTCCCTGTCCCCCCCCCCCCCCCCCCCTTGGCCCCCCCCGTGGAAATGGAGAATACACCCAAAGGGAGCCAGGTGCTGGCCCACACCCTTCCCACCACGAGCCCAGCCTCTCCCTAAGAAGCGCTCTCTAGGATTCCACCCTGGAAGGTGTTTCCACGCCAGGATCCAGGATTGCCCGCTCCGGTCCTCCAGCTTAAGACCAAGTGACTCACCTGTGGTCAGTACGACCAATCCAGGGACATAGGACACACACAGCCCCTGTCCTAGCATACCCCAGGTCCCGCCAGAGCAGCACTGAGGGGGTGGACCCACCAGGCTTTTAAAAAATATGTATCTATTAATTGATAGAAACATCCATGCTGTTAAACACACGTGCGTTACTGTTTAAGAAGCAGTTTAGCCAGGCGCGGTGGTGCACACCTGGAATCGCAGCGGATAGGGAGGCTGAGACAGGAGGATTGTGAGTTCAAAGCCAGCCTCAGCAAAGCAACTCAGTGAGACCCTGTCTCTTAATAAAATACAAAATAGGGCTGGGGATGTGGTTCAGTGGTCAAGTGGCCCCGAGCTCAATCCCCGATACCAAGAAAAAAAAAATAGCAGTTTAGTTGGGGAAGGCTGGGACACTGCTTAATTGGTGGAATCCGGTGGCTCCTTTTCAGATGTGCACTTAGAGTTGTGCGGGTTCAGGTCATGAAGGCTCTGGGGGGCGGGGCCTGAGGTCGGGGCTCTGTGAGTGTTGGTGATAGACTGGCTGCACCTGCCCCTGGGCCACACAAAGCCACCTCAGTATCTCCAGGAGGTAGGTGCAAGTGTGACCATTTATAGGTGACAAAACCAAGGGGGAGGTAAGAAGGGAGGCGCTCAGGTCACCCTGTTGCAAGGGGAGGGAGGGATCTGACCTGCGTCTCTCTGGCAAGGTCTCCCTGTCCTGGCTCGCCCCCTCTCCATCATCTCTCCACCGCCCCTGAGGGGTGGAGTGTCCCAGCCAAGGTGGCTACTCTCCGAAGCCCACTGAGGACCCCAGCACACGAGGAGAGACCCCACTACCTCTGAGCAGCGCTGTGTTTCCAAAGGGCTGGCCCAGAGCCACAAAGTGAATGACATCAGTAGAATCTGGCAAAAGATCTTTCACAACGAGAGCCTTTCCTTTCCACACCCTTAGAGTTGCTTTGACTGATTCATTAAAACCACAGTGGGATTTTGGCTTGGTGTGGTCTGGAGTCTGGATCCTGTCCGGCAAGCTCTCTGGTGCCAGTGCACAGTTACGTGAAACAGGGGCGTCCTTGACATCTTCTGCCGTAGTGACCATACTGCAGGGCTGGGAGCAGGGAGAAGGAGATGTTTAGACTGTGAAAGGTCGAAGAGAAGGTCAGACTGCAAAGCCAGGCAGGCTGCTCTACTTCAGGGGCCCGTGGCTGCCTGTCCAGGCGAGGAAGTCTGCAGGGATACGGCCTGGGGAGAGAGCAACCACTGAGATAAAGTAAAAGTAGCTCCTTCCAGGCCAGAAGGAGGGCTCCTCTAGGTAAAGGAAGGATGTGGGGGAGACAGAAGTCGACATGTACTTTCTGGTCTTTAGCCAGGACCTGGAACTGCAGATAGACTCAAGAAGCACCCTGTTAGAAAGAGGAAGGTTTTGTAAAACACTCTGATTGGAAAGAGGCAAGTTGCGAGGCAGGGGTAGCAATGTGTTGCTATGTGGTTGTTTATTCATTCATCAAGGGGTACCGAGCACTGTGCTAGGCACTGGGAATACAGCAGTGAAGGGAACTGACAAAATCCTATACCCTCGTGCAGCCCTCAATCCAGGGAGGGGACACAGAAAATGAACACATAAGTGACATCTATGATATGTTGGGTGGGAACAAGGTAGGGACCAAGGTTGGAGCAAGTGGAGGGTATGGTAGTCACAGAGGGCCTCACTGACAGAGCAAAAGACCCGAGAGGGCAGGGAGGGAGTCCTGCAGTCCAGGGAAGAATAATCCAGAAAGAAGGAACATAAACGCAAAGGCCCTGTGGCAGAAGTTTGCCTGGTGTGCTCAGAAACACACAGGAACAAAGGGGTTGTGAGGAGGCATGTGGCAGAGTGGTGTGAGCCAGGGGAGCAAGGAGTCCTGTCAGGCAGCTCCTGCTGGCCTTTGAAGGTCTTTGGGTCGGAGAGACATGGGAAGGCAGAGAGGGTTCTGGGCGGAGGAGCCACATGGTCAGACCTGCGTTTCTGCGGACTCACTTGGGCTGCTGCGTTAAGAGTAGAACCGAGGCAGGGTCACTGCCGTTAAGGGGAGATGCTCATGGCCAGGACCAGGCGGCTGCAGAGGAGGTGGCAAGAAGTCGTCACATTCCCGACAATTTCTGAAGATACAGCCAACAAGATTTGCTGACTGGCTGGATGCGGGATGTCAAAGAAAGTCCAAGATGAAGGTTGAATGACAGAGAGAAGTGGGGGAAGGCTGGCGATGGGGCAGACATGTGCGCGTGTTGGGGGTGACGGGAAGGAGAAGCAGCTACCACACATCCAAAAAGGAGATTCCAGTAGGAAATAGAGGAGTCTGGCCTGGAAACCAGGACAGCTGGAAGGTAGCACAGAAGTGAGTGTGGCTAGAAGAGGAAGGGAGCCCAGAGCACGGGGAACAAGCAGACTGGGGAGAAAAAGGGCGGCCATCGAGCAGGGATTTTTTTTTTTTTAATTATGATGGAAGACATAGCAACGTGTTTCATGCTATTGTGAAAGATCCAGTAAAGAGGAGAGAATCCATGATGTAGGAAAGAAAAGGCTGCTATGCCGGAGGGACGTCCTCCTCAAGACTTCCTGCACACAAGGAAATTTGGGCTGTAGATGGGAGCACGAGAGGAGAGCAGAAGAGAAGTTGGAGTATAAACAGAGGGCAGGCAACCAGCTTCAGGAGGGAATGGAACAGTCACTGGAGAAAGGCAAGATGACAGGAATCGAAATGTGATGGCACTTTCAGGCCCATGTGGGATGAGGGACAGTGAGTTTAAAGTAAGGCCATTTAAGGCGGTTGTGTTTTTCTCCAGCCTCACGCAGGTGCACGGATGCAGGTGTGGAGCAGGTAGGGTTGGGTTGTGCAAAGGAACGAGTGATTGCACAAGTGTCAAGTGATTGCGAAGGAATGAGAAGGGAACACAGGAGCGAGCCCAGGGGCCATGCTGATTTAGCCTGGTATATGACTTTTTAATGTACATGCCTTAAAGAACGTGTTTTATACCAAATGCATTCATTCATTCGTTCATTTACTCCTTCATGATTAACTACCTGATCCTCCCTGAAGTCATTCAGAACTGAAGAATGTCCAGTGTTTGGACAGATGTATCCACAAAAAGAGAGCATTGTTCACCGTATCAGTGAGACTGGGTTTCAGAGTCCGGAAGATCTTGATCTTTAGTCTTATCTCAAACAAATTGGGCGGCCCAGGACAATTTCCTTAACCATCCAGTTCCTTCATCTAGAAAATGGGAAGTTAATGCTTACCTTTCAAGTCTGGAAAGCACAGAGCTCACGGCGGGGCACACAGTGGTTGCCCCCGAACTGTTATTATTTCTGAGCCTCACATTTCAACAGCTCTAGAATGAGGCCCAACAGTGTCCCTCAACAGGGGACATGGGTGGGACCTGCCATAACACATGAATCATGACTCTCCAGATCAGGTTCCTGGAGTAGCTTAGTCCACGTGGCAGGACCTTTGGTGAGTGAATCACTTGTTCCCTGCGGGTTAGTCCGATATATCACAGATGCTTGTTGTCTGGGGAACTGGGGAGGAGAGGAGGAGCTCTCAGCTCCCTGCCCCAGGGGCAGTATGTGCAGCAGACTTTCACTCAAGGAGACTAGTGAGGCCCAGCTGTGCCCAGAACAGACACTGAGCAGTCCGCATAGGCACGTTCACATTCCAAAGAAATACCTAGAGAACAGGCTGGGTGTGGGGGTTGAGTAAAGAAGAGAGAAAATGATGAATGGTCCCAGTTTAACACCCAACGAAAGGTACCCAAAGCCAATGATTGACAAGTCTCTTGTCTGAGGCTCTGTGGTCCCAGGGATGGCGGGGTACCCTCCTGCCTGCCAGTCTCTGGTCTCCCCACTCTGCTCCCCCTTCTCTCCCTTCTCTCTCAGGGCAGGTGCCATTGCTAATGGCCGCCCAGTGAAGAGCACTAAGGGCTCCCTGCTTGCTGAGACTGCACTAGTACACCAAGCAATTCACCCTAATGGCTCGCAGGGAGCAGGGAGCTGAACTTACGGTGACCTCCATAAGTTTGGGGGATGGGACAGAAGGAAAAGGGAAGAAAATCAGCACAACCTGAATACTCCCCAAGGCTGTTGTTTTATTTTATTTAATACCTAGTTTATTTTTTAAATCATTCCAAAATATATATTGGGCCTGCACTCTGAACCCCGCAATTATGCAGGTTTCAAGGTCATGCGGAGAAAACATAAAATACATTCCCTCCCTCTAGGACCCAGCAGTGCTGATGACACTTCCTAGGGGTTATCCATCAGGGTGGGAAGTGTGCAGAATAGATGATACCAGCAGCCTCAGGAGACAGAGAAGGAAACCAGTGAGTGGCTGGGTGTTCAAGAGAGAGGCTTCCAAGGGAAGTGGGGTCCTTCTTCTAATGATGTAGAAGCAGATCTAGCCTCAAGATTTGCACGTATGTATACGTGTGTGGAGCTGGCCTGCCCCTCTTTTGGCCATTAACACTTCTGTCAGGATCCAGCCTTTATCATTATGGACAAGAACGTCTAGGAATAGTGTACATCTAACTTGTACCTCTATGTTTTGACATGGCCTGGAGACAGCTATTTCTCGCCCACCACCTCCAGCATTAGCAGCTCAAGAGAATATATCCTCTCCAGGTCACGACTGGAGAGTCAGACTCTGGCCACTGCTCAGCCTCATAGCCCTCCTGCAGCCGAAGAGGACATAAATGTCCCCCACCTCTGTCCAAAGTACACAGTCAAGGCAACTACAGAAATATGGGGGGCAGTACTTCTAGGGGGTGGGACAGATGCAGGAAGAGAGAAGGGAGAAAGGGACCCAGTTTAAAGACTCCAGTGCTCCCCACATCTACTTCCTCCAGCAGTCCTGGTTCCCCCAGGCTAGAGGACTGAGGCTGATTCCAACAATTTCCCCCAAACGGTTATTGTGAGATATAAGAACAAGGGCTTATATGACCAAGTATCCATTATTAAGCTTGGTTTTGAATCAGGAAGTATTTTCTTCTCAATCTTGAAAACCAGGGATCCACCTGGGGTGAGCACATGAAAATTGCTGTTCACAGGGAAACAAGAAAGCCCAGGTTTAAGATGGCAATAACCTCTCCAGAGGTGACCACAGAGAGCCTCTCATTTGGAGCAGAGAGAGCTCCATGTCCATGACATTCCCTCCCTGCCCCTTCTTTTGCTGGGGGATGAATTTTTTTTTTTTTTTTTTAAGGAAAAAGTACTTTTGCCAGGTGCGGTGGCACACGCCTATAATCCCAGTGGCTTGGGAGGCTGAGGCAAGGATCATGAGTTCAAAGCCAGCCTCAGCAAAAGCAAGGCACTAAGCAACTCAGTGAGAACCTGTCTCTAAATAAAATACAAAATAGGGCTGGGGTTGTGGGTTCAATCCCCAGTACCCCACCCCCACCCATCACAAAAAAAAGAAAGAAAGAAAGAAAAAAAGAAAAGAAAAAGAAAAAGTACCTTTAATTTTGCAACAAGAAAGAAATTCTAGGAAGAGAATTAAAGACATGAAGTTGCTCTGGAATCCTATCCTGAAGAAGGGGTTCACTTGATCCAGGACCCGGTATCCTGGTATCATATTCTATCAAGAGAAATCAGAGGCAAATCTTCGCTCATGTTGCCCTCAACTCATTACTTCAGGCTCTGATAGGGACACGGAAACGTGAAGCCATCTATCCCAGCCCTTGGGAAACTTGTAGTATCCATCATAAGTGAGTTACTGAGAAGACAGTATTTCATCAGTTCTGCATCCTATGAACTTCTTTTGAGAAGCAGGGGATTCCTAAGTGAGTTTTTCAGGTAATTCTCTGTCAGCTGAAGATGTTTCCATTTCTATTACCTCTGATGGGAATCTTTCTAAACTGCTTCACACAACACCTGCCTTCTTTAGCACAATTTGACCTCTTCTCCATGGCTGAAGGGCACCATTATCAACTAGCAGGTCTGTTATGGCTGGTTACGCAAAGTAAGCTTGCCCAACTCCAGGGGGTGCCGCTCATGTTGTAATCTGGTTTTTACAGTTCTTTCTCCAGTTTTCTGGTAGATTACAATCAAGTGACTTGAAGAAGATGCACCTTTTCCTATCTGTTGGCAGCGGGTTTACCACTGTGACAGGTGCAAAGAGGGGCTGAGCAGAGGCAGGGGCTGTTTGCTCCTAGTCTGATGTGACCCTGGAAAACAGCTGCCTGTGACGATCTTCCTGCACTCTGTAACAGCCTTCTCTTTCCCTTGTCCTCAGTCAGTTCCCAGTTCTCCCTATCCTTTGTTCCTCTAAGCGCTACACTTCTAAATGCAACCACTGGGGAACAAGGTGAAGTCACAGACTCCATGCTAAATGCGTTGCTAAATCTCATGGCTCTTAGGGGAAACCCTGAGCTGACCACAAAATCCCCTAGAGCCAGGTACTGGGGTCTTGTGGCAGCTCTCTTCCTTTGTTACTTGGGTTCAAATTTTTGGCAGCTGTTCTGCAGATGGCTAGGGTAAGCAGAAGTCTGATTCTCTGATTGACAGCATGGTGAAAAACTGTAATCCAGTACTCCATACTGATAAAAAAAAAAGTGCTCAGTTGTGTGTTTATTAGAAAACGATATCTGGGGGAACTCACTTGCTGAACTTAAGGGTTTTCATTTGCTGGCTCCCATCTGTTTTGATTTATTTTTGCTTTGTTTTAATATGAGGTCTCTAGCACAAATGTACCCCTACGCCTATATATTTTTCAACACTTTCTTGGATGGTTCTGATGAGCACCCAGGTTTGAAGATGCTGCCCTGACATGCCCGGGAGCTTTCTGAGACACACCAGGGGAGTCCATCACCTCTCCCCAGGCTAGGTCAAGATGCACAGGCTACCTTCATGGTTGAGTGGAGGGCGGTGGTCTGTGTGCACAGCAACCCACAAGCTTACTCTGTTGGTTCTTTTAGCAAAGCTCTTCCCTGCTGCTCATCGGCCAAAGAGGTCATCATCCATGCCATTGAACCCAGTCCTGCAGACCTCCCTGGAGGAAGTGGAGCTGCTCTACCAGGTAGGCAGAGGAAAAGGGGTCAAGCCAAGCTCTTTCCACAGCTGCCTCACAAGTGACTGTGTGTGATAGTGACAAGAGCTGTGTCCTCAACCATGCCTGGCTTCATGCCTTTCCACAATCCATGTATCTCACCAGTTCCTGCTGGCTGAACTTGAGATCAGCCCTTCTTTATCTTTTTTTTTGTTGTTGTTGTTGGAAAAGAAGAGATGACCCGTCTGAGTCCCTGAATGGTGAGCTGCAGTAGGGAATGGCCTAGACCCATTTGTGGAGGTCATAGAATCCTGCCCATCCCAAAGGAAGGAATTGCTCACACCTCGTCTCCTTCCCCATGAGCCTGAACAGGGAATGACAGAATTAGCAGTTCAGCCCAGGCAAACTCGAGATTAGATTTGTCCCACAGGTGCCACTGCCCACACTCAGACACCAGAGTGTGGATGATTCCCAAGCAAAGGTTTGGAGGCCGACTCATCCATAGTGTCCAGGCAAGGCCACGCTGGGATCTGGGTGCAGACCCTAAGGCCGTAGACCCTGTCTGCTGGAACAGCATTGCTGTCTGGCTGCCCTGCTAGTCCACGGAGGTTTCCAGAAGCCTGAAAGGGTCTCTTCTTCTGCCACTCACACCTGCCCCACTGAGATCCTACTCCTCCAAACTACAGAGCAGATTTCCTGAGGGCTCTTGGTTCGGGTCAGTGGTACAATCCCAGGTTTGATTTCTGAGCTTTAATTCTTCAGCAGTGTGACCTTGCATAAGCCACCGGTTCTCTCTAAGCCTAAATCTCCTCAACTGTTATATGAAAAAGTTCAATTATGGCTCCCAAAATTCCCCTCCAACTTTTATATCCTGTGACTGTGTATCAAAACAGTCTGGTTAGGAAAGAGACTGCCTGCAGCAGCCACACAACACAGTGGAGCCAGGGAGATTTCAAACCCTGTCTTGGGGAACAGTCTGGCAAGACTTGAACTTGGGAGTCACAGAACAGAGCCAAGCTTTAGAACGATAACAGACGGTGTTGTGGAGATGGAAACAGAGAGCAGACTGGAGATGTGGAGTCATCTATCCAAGTATTTATCAGGTTCCTCCTGTGTGCCTGGTGCTGGGCAGCGACAAGGATGGCAGACCCAGACCCTATTCTTACAAGCTGATAAGAGTCGAAGACAAACCTCTGTATCCCACTGAATTCCCAGCACAGTTCTCTGCATCCTTTAAATCTCAAATTCTGCTTAAAAATTATCAAAAATAATTTATGCTTTAGAAATTCTTTGTGGGTGAGAGGGAAGAAGGGACTGATCTGGGACACTAGAAACAATAATTGGTCACTTAAATAGTGGCCATGGACCAGGCACTGTCATACTTGTCCATATTTGTCTTATGTACCTCTCATGATATTCCCATATCCCAGTATCCCTCCTTTTGAGGAGAAGGAAAGTAAGGCCCAGAGAAGTGAGGCAATTTGTCCAAGGTCACGTAGCAAGTTTAAAGATCAGAAGTGAAGCCCAGGTCTCTTAGATCCAAAGCTCTTTCCACAGCTGCCTCCCTAAGTGACCATGTGTGATAGTGACAATTGTCGTGTCCTCAACCATGCCTGGCTTCATGTCTTTCCACATTCCATGTATCTCACCAGTTCCTGCTGGCCGAACTTGAGATCAGCCCTGACCTGGACATCTCCATCAAGGATGAGGAGCTGGCCTCCTTGAGGAAAGCCTTGAACTTCCACACCATCTGCAATGATGTGATCCCCAAACGCATCCCAGACATCCGCCGGCTGAGTGCCAGCCTGTCCAGCTACCCTGGCATCCTCAAAAAAGAAGACTTTGAAAGGACACTGCTGACCCTCGCCTACACAGCCTACCGCACGGCCCTGTCCCAAGGGTATCAGAAGGACATCTGGGCCCAGTCCCTCCTTAGCCTCTTCCAGGCCCTGAGGCATGACTTGATGCGATCCTCAGGCCCTGGAGTGTCTCCCTGAGAGGCTGGCCCACATCAGGACCTCGAAACAGGGACCAGCACACACAGCAATCCAGAAAGTTCACTCTCTACTCCATGTACCATCAACAGAGAGTGGCAGAGATAGAATAAGAGTAACTCCATGCTCTTCTGCTCTTGGTGCTTCCTGATACACACCCCGATTGGTGTCATAATGTGACCTGGGCAGAAAGAAAGGACTAAAGGGGTATTCAAGATACCTCCAGATGCAGGATGATTTGCCAGGTGATGCACAGAAGTCCAAGATGTGCTTTGACCAGAGAAGTTGCCACACACACACACACACCCTTGAGTGAGGATACAGTAGAGAAGACATCATAGTTTTAGGCATGGCTTGAAGACGGGAAACAGATTCCTTTGGTGCTAAGGGACCAGGGTGCCAGACGAAGGGGGTAGGGGAAGGGGACCTGTTTCCTAAGGTTCTACAGTAAATGTCAAAGAGGTAGATCCATACCCTAATAAATATGTGGTCAGTCCAGGATGTACGGGACTTTTCCAAAAGCCATCAAGAAGAATCAGCTAGAAAATCAGTCACTGTAAGACCTCTATGTGTCTTTGCTGAAGGTCAGTCTACTACAGAGGAGACACAGGAAGGGGGCTCTGAGAAATGGGGCCATCCCATTCATATCCTGTCTTTTGAACAAAGAGACTAAGCTAATGCAAAGAGGTCCTCCGAATGTCAGAGATGGCACCAACACCCAGGCCTATCTGTAATTGCTAAGCCTCATCAAATAATTAAGTGCTGCAAATAAAAGTGATTTTCAGTTGGCAGAATTTTACCCATTCAAATGCCAAAATTTTCATTTTAAAAATATTGACTTGGTATCTATTTGAACCCTATGTATATGGTTTAAGCTTCTATTTGGTATCTTAAGATAATCATTTGGAACATTCTAAGGAAGGAGGCGGATAAGATAATCTCTAAGTTTCCTTCTATCTATTAAATTTCTACAATCACTTGCAACCATGAAATGCTACAGGGACGGGGTCTGGATCTGAGAGTTCTGCTGGGCTGTTGAGACCACCCCTGCAAGATCTGGGCTTTGCCCACTGTGTCCAGTTCTGAGGTTTTCGCTGCCCATCAGGCTGTTGGAGCCCACCTTCACAGTTTGTTCTTCTTTAGCTTCCATTGCCTGCAAACTGAGGTAGCCCGGCTTCTGAACTCTGTTAATGAGAGTTAACAGATGAAGGCCTCTGCTACTAGAAAGGTACCCGTGTTCTGATACAGATTCCTCACCAGCACAGAGATCTTTCCGGCTTCTCCTCCTAGGGTTACTGCTGGGTTCCGGAGGCTAACACTGTAAGAACTCTGATCTCTGGATGAGTTGAATTCACTGGGCTAAACTTGATTCTTTAAAGAGTATTTACTAATCACCATTTGATGATCATGAGGTCCAGGCTTCCTCAAAATCTTTGAACAAAAGAGCTGCCTGTCAGCACTAACTGCATGGTCTTTGGAGAACTATCGAGATGCCAGAGAAGGCATTTATTGTCCAAGAAAAATACAGCTTTGCATTCTGATACTCTCAGGCTCAGAAGTTTAATAATTCTTAGCCTCTCTGTCTTTCTCACTCCCTGATTATACCACTCTTTCCTTTCCTCAAAGGCAGATTCTGATGTGTGCTTTTTTTTTGCTTGATATTTCTCTTTCTAACATTACATGTTCTCTTTGATACAGTTTCTCTCTCTCTCTCTCTCTCTCTCTCTCTCTCTCTCTCTCCCTCTATCTCTCTTTCTTTTCCATTCTTTCCATTCTAGTTTTTGTCTCTGTTCCTCTATATTTTGGCCCAATTCTGATTTTTTTTTTTTTGCCTGTACTAGAGGTTGAACCTCAGCCCTCACACATGCAAGGCAGTTGAATGAGCTACAGAGCCAGCCCTTTTTAATTTTTATTTTGAAATAGAGTCTCTCTAAATTTCCCAGGCTAGCCCCAAAACTAGCCTCCTGCCTCAACTTCCCAAGTTGCTGGGATTATAGGTGTGAGCCACCATGCCCAGCTCTGAATATTTTTCTTTGTGTTTTTTATACATCTCCATCCCTTCTGGTTGGCTTCTGCTCCATCTCTCTTTATCTGCCTTCCCATATTATCACACTCAGTGTCATTCAGTTTCCTTTGAACAGAGCAAAGGTCAATGTACAAACAGGGTTAGGATTGCCCAGGGATGGACCTCAAGCCTACCTTCACTCCCTGTACCTTCCTGGATGTGGGGTGGGAAGGAGACTGGCCCTTATTCTCAGTGCTTGGATACTGTGCAAGATGGTCAGTCTTGTATCCCACTCCGAGAGTCCACTCCCATCAAAATGGGTCTAAGAACTTTCTTGTACTCAGAATCACCAGGTGGAAAGATCCATCTGTATAGTTCCTGCCTACCATGTTAAACAAAGTGGCTGCTCCCAGGAGCAAGAGATCTGTAAACAGGAGGACCCTTCCCCACTGGGAGCAATGACAGCTTATCACTCAGCAACAAAGAATCAAAAGGCACTTTATATTCATAAATTATGACAATCAATGACTAAAAAAAACAGGGGGAAAGGGACAGGACATTTTTAAGAACAAATAAAGACTTCATTTTCAACAACTAGATTCTTAAACACTATTTTAATCTAAGATAAATTCTTACCCACAAAATGTCTTTAAATAATGGCTTCATGACATACAAAATCATATATGCTCACCATCTCCACCCAAAAAACCCCATTTCTTGTCCAGGGAACAACAGAGAAATAAGGTGGAAACAGACTCTCCCATTTGGCCTCATGAGCATAACACTCTATAGACAATCACAATCACAGCTGGGCTGCCTTTTGTCACATTTACTCACAGAATAATTTGGGGGTGGATGTTTGCAGTGGAAATTTGCCTGTGGCTTATGGGGCATTTCTGCCATTTCTATACTGCTGGGAAGTTTTAGTGTCTAAAAACTCCGGAAGCTTCCTGTATGGATGGCATCCTGGTGGCTCTCTCTGGTCATTCAAGAGACAATGACAAACATCAACATGCTGAATCTTTCATTGCTCTGTCATTCTAACCTTGAATCTGATGATAAAACAAGTTACATAAAAGGTATGTCAAAAGGCATTTGTGTAGGTAAAACTAGTCTAAAAAATCGTAATCTTAACTGTGTTTAAGCCTCCGGTACACTAGTGTTACATCTATGTAACATTGTTTTGTGGAGGTGCTTTTTGTTGTTGTTGTTACTTTGTTTTTGTGGTGCTAGAAATCAACCCCAGGGCCTCCTGCATGCTACACAAATGTTCTACCACTCAGCTGTATCCACAGTCCTGCATATTGTGCAACAGACCTCTAGAACCATCATTTTACTTTCTTTTTTTAAGAGTCTGGCTACTTTTGATACCTCATTCAAGTGGAATCTATCTTATATGTCTTGAGCATTGGATTCTGGAAAGTGTTTTCTTTGTCTAGAAAATGGATAGAGTCCTGAAGGAGAACTACTGGTCTTACTGTGTTACTTGCCTTACCTAATTTTATTTAACAATATTCATCTATGGTATAATAAAAATGCCACAGTCAAGTTACTAAACTCTCTGGAATCTTGGTTATCTTGGTTTAACTCACTAAAAGAATTTGAAGTGGTTCCTAGGTTCAGTAGTGGATATGACTTCAACAGCTGTTTACTATCCTCTGGTCTCTCTAATATTTGCAACCAAAACATCACACATATGGTCTTGTTCATTCTGAGTTTCAAAATCATTACAAAAACGAAGCCAGAATCTCGTAAATACAAGAGCCAGGTTTTAATATACATGTAAAGAGATGAGTCACCCTAGCCTGTCCTACAATGGCAAGATAACCTCAAAGATCGGGGCTATCCACAGGTGCACCTGCCTTAGAAGTCAAGAAGGACTGGATTCTTGGAGTCATTATACCTTTAGCCTGGGGATCATTTCCAACTGGTATAGCTGCAAACCTGAGAAGGTGTCATTTCTCAGATACTGTGTCTTGGAGAAAACATGAGTTTCAAAGCCCAGGCTCTGCTCAGCATCTCCCAGATCAGGGTAATATTGCCAAAGACCACCACTTAGAGAAGGTTGGGGGTTTTCTCTTTTGCTTGCTTGCTTTATTTCTCCCCAACCTCTTTCCTTCCCTTCCTTCTAAATCCACACATCCTCTCTGAGAAATGAGGCTACTGCTTCTCCCGATGTGTGAGCAGGAAAAATTCCAGTCTAACTGCCACTGGTCCCTGAAGTTGTCAAGTTCTCTGCCTTCCCACCTTTCCCTGGTATAGCAGCCAAAAGGGGCCTCCTGCTTCCTTGTTGGTACAAAGCCTCAGAAAGGAGCATTTGGGCACCTACCCTAGCCAGAGACCACCAACATCAGGCTCAAAGGGACTCTGAAATAACACAGGCATCTGGACTTCTCCAGAGAGGCAGCTTCCCTCCTGCTTCTCCCAGATGCTCCAGCAGCCTTTGTTCCAGGGCCTTTTCTGGGGGCTCAGACCCTTGTATAGCCCCAGGTGCTGAAGAATCGACTGTGGCCAGCAGGGATGCCTGAAAGGCTTACTATCCTCCACTCTGGGACAAATTCCTTGCCACCCTGTCCTCTTCCTGAGGACCAGGTCAGCAAGTGGCCCTCCCAGGGAAGGCTCTATGTCCCATGCCCAGAAACATCAAAGCAGAGCTTGGGGAAGTGGAATTATGTTTACCATGATGATCGCCACTCTGGCCCCTAGGATGTTTGAGAAACGGAAAAATAAGCGTCTCGCCTGCTGCCTAAGTTCCGCAGACTCAGCAGGCCCCTACTGTGACCAATCAAAAACTGCCTTTGGAAGAGATACTGACTCATTCTTTTCAACCTGCTGATTGGCTTTGAAGAATGGGCGGAGCTACTACTCCATCCTGGCTTTCCATTGGTGGATGAAAGTTCAAGGTGGGCCTCCAGAGGGTTTTTGTCCTGTGACAAAAAGGAATGTCTTGGGGATTTTTTTCCCCCCCCTGCTTTGGAGGCCCAGGCTCAGGGCCAATTATAAGTAGGAAACCAATTTGAAGGAAAGAAGTTGGAAACGAGTTAGGGTGCCAGGTCCTGGGAGAGAGCAGCAGCCCCATCTGAGGCCTGCATGGGCCTCTGACAGACTCAGGTGCTTGTTTTAAAGGGAAAGGGCTTCCAGAATTTACCAACAGCGAGCCAGCTAGGAGGTGAGAGAGGTACTCCCCCAACAGGCCATCAGAGGGAGGGGAAATGACGGAGAGCACAGTATGCTCTTAGCATTTTTATTTTTAAAAGATTTTAAATGATTCTTCAAAGCCGAACAGCAGCAAAGTGTGGGTTTAATCGCTTAAGAGGGCTTTTCCCGATGGCTAGAATGAGGTTGCTCTCTTGCTAACCACGCGGAGAGGGAACCCACTATGCCCCCGTTTATCATCCTTTCCCAGTTCCTTCTCGCTGGTCATAAAACCATGCTCATCAATCCCACCTAAGGCCAAGGCCAGGAGCCCAGCCCTCGGTGGGAAAGAGGGTAGAACAGCCCTCCTCTTCTGCCCCCAAGACCAGAGAGGACTCTTGGGAGCCAAGAAAGGTTTAAGAAGTCTTCCTGGACAGATGCCGTGCGTAGTGAGGACCAAAGGCGCTCCGGGCAGAGCAGGTCCAGGGGCGCGGAGAGGAGATAGGGCCACCATGGGCCTTCTTCAGGGCCTTCTTGGAGCAAGGAACCTGCTGTTGGTCGTCTGCGTTCCGCTGCTGCTGCTGCCTCTGCCCATCCTCCACCCCAGCAGCGTAAGTATCCACCTGTGCCTCTCCAGGGCCTGGAGTCAGTGGGAGGGCAAACAAGGGAGATGGGGAGGCAGTGAGGTGCTTATGCAGTACCCACAAGTGGGTTATTGTGGGACTGAAGGAATGGACATGATTTTCTAGAGGAGACCAAAATGACTTCTTTCTAAAAACTGTCATATTCACTCCTCCATCTCAGTGCCAGAACCCCAACCCTCTGATATTCAGCTCAGTGGGGACAGAGTGAGGGATGAGGCTGAAATGACTAATGTGTGTTGCACAAAGCTGGGGACCAGGCAATGGATCCATAAGAAGGACACACTGGTGAGCAGTTACTCATCAGGAGTCAACCTGTGACCATCTTTATGTGAGAGCAACTAGAGACACAGGGAGACCACCTGTCATGACCCAGAGAAGGATGGGGAAGGAGGGCATGGTGGAGCCTGTGTCGGGTCTGTGGTCAGATCACAGGGGGCTCTGATTATCAGAATTTGAAAATCTTGGGAACTTTCCAGAAGAAAGTTTAAGTTAGAAACAGAGCTTGATGTGTTGCCCTGGTCGGTGCATATGACCCTTTTGTTATTTTTAGCCTCTGTGTTTCTCTCTCTGTGCTCTTGAAAGACAGACATAAAATGATATGAGCCCCCAAACCCTAGATTGTGACTTAATTTTTAACCAGCATTGTTTAGCAGCATCGGCTCTGCATTTGGCTGGCCTCTGGCCTCTTGCTTTCTGCCTTTCCTTCTTCCCCTCTGTTCTATCTGTGGCTTTATCCCTTCCTCCAGCTGTCACCTGCCTTGAGATTTCAGGAAGAATAAGCTAAGTCAGGCTGGTTCTGATCGTTGGGGGTGGGGTGTCTCCCTCTGCACTCCTTAAGTAACTTGGTAACCAAGATTAAGTTAAAAAGTTAAATAGAGGGGATTAGGATGGTTCTTAAAAACAAGCTGGCTTATGTCTTTAGTAAAATAAATACCCCAGCATGCCAGGCAGACGCCGAGTAGCACTGGGCTGGGATTAGAAGCCGGTGATTACTGCTGACATTTTTCCTGGGCTACTTTGTCCAAATGGACCTGATTTTTTTTTCCTTTTCTTTTCATGGTATTTTTTACTCAATGTCAAGTTGATTTCAGGGAATGCTAACAAGGACACATTACCCTCTTCTCCCTAGCACTTATTAGGGAGGCCTGCTTTCCTTTAAATCAACCCCTACCTTTGGGGACCTTAACCAGTGCCCACAGGAGTGACAAATTAGGGGCCCAACACTGACTACGTCTTGTACCCATCCTTCAGCTGTTGCATCAGACTTTTAGATTCTGATATTTCATGCTTAAAACTCCTGGATGAATTTGCTTGCACTGGGCTGCCATTAAGAGAAGTGGCTGGGACCTGGGCAGGAGCACCTGACCTACAGTTTTGATGGTTCTTCAGAGTGACAAGCCACCATTACACATTAGGAGGAATCAAAATGACTTTCCCCTTTTTCTTGCCCATCTCTCTAACACAGGAGTCCAGACTGTTTATCATATTACAGAAGAAGAGGGCAGTGCTGGGGTCGTAGCTCAATGGTAGAATACTTCCCCAGCATGCATAAGACCCAGAGTTCGATCCCCAATATCAAAAAAAAAAAAAAAGAAAGGAGGAAGCGAGAGGGGGCATCATCACTCAGCCATTTTTCCATGTCCCTAGTAGGGTAAAACTTGCACCCCAACTTCCCAAGTTAAATTGTATACAAAGGGCCCATTGGTCATTTAGGATAGCAAATGACCAGATTTCAAGCCTCGTCCAGTGAGTGGGATATCATAGGGGTGGAAAAGGGGCAGATCCAAGGCTGAGTTAGTAAGTAACAAGTTAGGGAACATTCTACATGAGAAATGTCAATTCTGAACTCTTTAAAAAAAAAAAAGAGAGCAAAATAGAATTGACAACACTGTTTCTTAAAGACGTTCCCTGAAAACCCACCAACTCCCATATTCCTTCTAGCCGCTGGCACTGAAAAGGGGCCTGGGGGTCCAGAGTGTTCTCCCTAGCAAGATAAAAGAGACTTGTCAGCTAATAGAGCAGTCCAGTCCAGCCAATATTAATTGAGCCACCTGCAAGACATGGGCCAGGTGCAGGGACATCAGACTTCTAGAATGGAACTTTGCAGAGTATCTTGGGCTGTGTGAATCCAGGCTTACCAACGGCCTTTTGAGAAGACTGACAGGGGTAAAAAGGACATGGATGTAGATTCTGTGGGTGACCTAAGTGAGCAATATCTGAAAAGACCCTCTAAAGGTATTTTTAATCCATTCTTCTGCTCTAAGGAAAATCCAGATAAAAATGTTCTTAATCCTGATGGGTGAAGGTGGCTTCCTCTGGCTCCAAATCCTAATGATATTTGCAATACTATGTTTCAGACCCATCAAACTTTCAGATTCTGATATCTTATCCTTAAAACTCCTGGCTGGATTTGCTTAGACTGGGCTGGCATCAGGATCACGAGTTCAAAGCCAACCTCAGCAACTTAGTGGGGCCCTAAGCAACTCAGCTAGACCCTGTCTCTAGATAAAATGTAAAAATAGGACTGGGGATATGGTTGAGTGCTGTTGGGTTTAATCCCTGGTACCAAAAAATAGAGAGAGAGAGAGAGAGAGAGAGAGAGAGAGAGAGAGAGAGAGAGA